AGAGCTCTGGCCTTGAGGGAGTCAGCCTTTATTACTAATAATAATGATGACATAAATAAGGATCATGGTAACTATTAATATACTTTTCGAATGCCTACCATTATTTGCATGCATTAGTTCTTGCTATTACACTAAAACACATAAGGCAAGTCTTCAGGTCGTTCTATAGCTCCAGAAACTGAGGGGTAGGAGAGCATGTCCACTAGCAGGCATTCCCACAAGTACAGGGTCTGAGAGCTTTTCATCCTGAGGCTACAAATTAGAGAAAAACAAACATACTCTGTCTGCTTTCACAGTACACTACAAGGAAGAAGAGCTGGTGAGAGTTTATGACCTGCTTTTCTGTTGACCAAGTGATTTCGATGGAGTTTTTAATGCTATAGGAAAACTGGAGTAAACATTAACCAGAGCATGAGTTGTAACATTTTTTTTCCCTTTTCAGAAAAAAAGAAAATGATTGAAAGCAAGAGTTTCAACAAGCAAAATCTGAAAACTGTTAGCAGCTATGTCCTAAGAGTCCATGGAATATGATAATTCTTCAAATAAAACCGTGTGTCCAGCTGCAAAATATGATCAGAGGCCCAGGCAGGCACTTATGACTTCTTTTCCCCTCAAATATAAATTAAAAGTTCACTGTTTGAAAATTACTATGCTTACAAAAGAAGGTAGGATTTCTGGCAACTTACATAAATACTGATCCTTTTTAACCATTATTTTACAGAAGTCGAGGTATTTTTATCAGAGTGTTGATGCCATCATTTTTATTGTGGGAAATTAAGAAATATGGTGAAAAAAATCACTTTAAATTCTACAACCCCAAGCAAATACTCTTAATACTGGGGCGGTTTGCATACGTGATGCAGACCTGAGTACTTACACTCACCCACATGCCCCGGCGTGAAGTGCCAGTCACAGCCTGCAGCTTATATCATAACAATTTTTTGTTGTTGTCTAAAACTGCTCCTCTCATCTTGGGGTGCTGAATGTGCTCTTTTGTCCTGCTTGTTTTCATTTAACAGTGTATTAGGAGCACTCTCTATGGTATTAAATACTGCTTGAAACATACTTCGGGAGTAGCTCTCAGATTTTGATCTCTCACCTTTTAGAAAAGATCCAGCTCAGTGGTAGAGTGTGCGTTTAGCAGAGGCCCTGTGTCCAATACCCAATACCAAAAAATAAAAGCAGAGTCAAGAATTTTCTGTATCTCACACTTCTCTAACATGGTACGAGGTCAGCCCCATTTGGCACAGGTAAAGTTGTCGAGAGCAATTTAGGAACGTAATTAATTTTGCCTTAAAGCTTTCAGTTACAGGTAACTCCTTGTGTTTGCATTGTAGCAGGCCGGTTTCGAGTGTTTCACATCTTTTGATTATAAAAGCTTCCTTTCACTTTATTATTTTCCTCACCCATAATGTAGAAATATTATTATGAAGTTTTTCAAAAAGTAATTATTCCAGACAGTGATAACTTTTCCAAGTGTTTCTGAATAAATATCCTCCATAATACTGCATTTAGAGGACAATTTGTAGGTTTTTTTAAAATAGAAAACAGTCATCTCCCCAAAATTTGAGTTTGAGCTGCCCATAACTTGTTTGCAAGACATGTACTGTGTACCCAGAATTTTCAATCTACATAACATCTCTGGCTAATCATGCAAAATAAAGTTGTGACACTTTCATAAAGAAATACTTTCACCATTGGCATAAATTTACATCGAAACACACACACAAAAAAGATCTGTTTGGTACCAGTTATGTTGTAGTGCAACAATGTATACTCTCTCCTAGTTTGCTGAATCCCTGACTTAAAAAGGCTTTGTTGCAATCTAACTTTATTGCTTCTGGTTGGCAATTGAGCTGTACCTAGTGGATATGCTGATTTTTAAAAAAAGCAAGAAAGAGCTACAATAATGTTGTGGTCTCCTGAGAATACATTTATTTCCGCAGTATAAAACAAAATTAAATTCTTCAATCTCAAAAACTATTAAAAGGTTGTATTTAAAATGCATGAAGCATTAAAAAGACATCAAAATTAAAATAATCTCATAAATCTCTTCATTTAAAAGACTTATTAGAATACAGATTGAGGCAGAAAACAGCTGTCCGGCACTCCAGAACAGTAAATGATGACTATTTTAATTTTCTTTCATTTTTACCATTGAAAGTTCTTTTCCAGAATAATAGTATTGCTATAGCAAGACCAACTGTCCCATATATTTAATATTGGACTCTGAAAACACATTCACTGTATATTCTTTCCAAGACCAGTCCACCACACAGGACTGCGCTCCAACATAGGATACAGAATACACAAGCAGAAATTAGGTTTTCATGTACAATTGATCAAATTAGTTATTGTTCCAACTCAGCTTGCCAGAGCAATGGGGACACCCCCCAGGAAAACCTGGGTGAGAGTTTTATTGCATCCCTTTCTTCTCTGGATCTACAACCTAAGGAAAAACAGCCATGCAGGAAGGACAATCAGATGTGTCCAGTTCGCCATCAATCATTAACACCTAACTCTCCTTACAAATGACTGACAACCGCGAGAAGGTTTTTAATAGTCTCGCTCCATAGCCCATTATGTGTCAGTCTTGATTGTGCTGGGGTATTCCTGGGAGAACAATTAAACCATCATGTTGATTGCTCCTCAGTGCAGTTGAATCCTAAAAGGAGAACTGAAGAATGAGACAGCTGACCGCGAGGCCGTGGCCACTGGCCCCCGTGCATTCCTTAAGCATGTACTGTGAACCGAGCAGAGCTATTTTTGATAGAAAGCAGCCAGATACGCTTTGAAAGTCTCATAAGAAGATAAAAGGTGTGTTCCCATAAAGCCGCCTCCTATTTTTATCACCTCCCTTCCGCTGGTGGACTCTGACATCATTCCTCCTTAGCAGAGATAAGATTAGTAAACTGGGGCCTTTATTAGGAGCTGCTTAAACACCATTAATCCAACTGAACTGATGGCGTACCAGGTACCAGATCTTTTGCTGCCTTCTCTTTGCAGAAGACGACATGGATAGCAGCATTCGACATCTTTCCAGAAACAGCATCTATCTTTGTAATTCTGCACACTTTCCCGTTGCCTCAGCTTGGGCAGGCTGAGCAAAGCTCCTTATCTAAGACTGAAAAGGATAACAGGACTGCTCAAGTATAAAAACTGCAAGTATTTTATTTATCTCTCTTTCTTTCTGCTTAGATTACCATTATCTTTGGTCACTGAATTTTGTCTTTTAGGCTTTGTGTGAAGAGCCAAGTCAACCTGAAAGTTCAGCTCTAAGCCCAGTGGATTACTGTCTCTCACACACACACACACACCCTTCCCCCTCCTCCTCCTCCTCCTCCCCCTCCTCCTCCTCCTCCTCCCCCCCCTCCTCCTCCTCCTCCTCCTCCTCCTCCTGTCCTTTCTTTGGCTTTACCCTAGGGTTCACTTCCCCATGAATGGCTTTAGATGACTCTATGACCTTCCTTGAACAATATTTATACGGGTCCTACAAATGCCTCAGAAGCTACTACTTCCTTCCATGTAAGCCAAACAGACAGGCTGTCTAAAACCAGCCACAGCATCTGAGGAAATTACATAAAACAATTGCTAACAAGAATTTCGACTGTCTTTGTCCCTCTTTTGTTACAGCTGACGTGCGGCAATGTGGAAGCCACAGAGATGCAGTGAGGAGAGATCCCCACCTGATCAAGACAAGGAGGAGCTGGTACATGAGCACCCACTCCTCTGTGTGAGAAAGATTTGAGCAACAGAAATACTGATTCAGATCAGAAGACAGGTGCTGTGGGCATGCGCTGTTCTTCAGCCTAGGAGGTTCATGAAGAAGGATGCATGGGAATTCTATTATTAGCAAGTAGGGAAGAGGTCACATAGGATTATGGAACAGTATAGCAAACACAGGGAAGTTTCTGGAACATTGGTTGCCACCACTGTTGCTACTATTTCTGTCCCGTGAGCCCCATGTTCACAGTTCTTGCCATAACCACACATCTCCTATACCAGTATTAGCTTAATATTCTCTTTTTAAATTACCTCCATTTTTACAGAATAAATCTCTTTTTTAAAAAGCAATTCTGTGACACTATGTATGTATACATAGAAAGCCAGCATCTCTCTTGCCCCAAGTATAAGAAAAACTATAAAATAAACAAAAGGAGACAAAATAAAAACAATGAAATTGCAGTTAAAATCTGCTGTCTGAGACTAGCCTCCCCTTTACAAAGGTACAGGGTAATGGCAAGATATTAAAGACTTCCCAGTCCTAAACTAAGACTTCCTTCAAGGTCCTCTGAAGGTTGAAAGAGAACTCTTACCTGCCTGAACTGTTACTCAGGCTATTCGGCTCCATGTTAGTGCTCACCCACCAGCACGGTGGACCATGTCCCACTGTCTGGGAAACACTAAGAGTCCTCAGAACTAGTCACAAGAAGGATGTAAGATGTGAGATGGGAGGGAGATGTAGGACTCATGGAGCCCCGAAGTCATGCCAACTTGCTGGCCTTACACACAGTGCTGGGAACTTACTGCAGGAGGTAAATCTTTAAGTAGAAAACTGGTTATTGCATAAAAGATAAGCAGACAAAGAAGAGATGAAAAACTGAGATAACAGTTCATTTGAGAGAAGCCAAGGATCTTAACTGGAGTAACAAGGACAGGAAGGGAAGCAGGCGACGCTGCTCCCCAGCAGCACCCACCCTGCCTCACTCCGGGGGTGCACGGGGGGTGGTTCTCCAGCCTGTTCTATCCTTTGCGTGAACCAAGTCATTACTGCTGCATTTCATCAAATCTAAGATGCTATCAATTGTGAGATGCACCATTATTTTATATGCCACTAAGAAAGAAAAATGCTGCCAATTAAATGATGATACACCATCACTTGTAAGAAGCATCCAATTTCAGAGATGCTAAACTGTGGGGGGAAAATATCTGTCTTGAAATCAGTGAGACACGTTATTAATCACTATTGCTTAAAAGCAAATAATATAGAGCTTGAAAGTTAATTGGTTTTCAGAAAACAATGAAAAGGCATAGCTGGTACAATGTCCTGCTTGATGCAACTAGAGGAACAAATTATCATCCTTTTAAGACAAGACAACATAGAACACGAGTTCAAAAAGACCCGGATTCAAGTCTCGTTCCCTCCACTAACTAGATGTGATGCGTTACTGAATAGCAAACTCGCAAAACTTCAGTTAGTTTAGCTGAAAGATATACTCTGTAAATTTCAATGTTTAAATATGTTACACCAAATGAAAACCTAAAATAAGGATCTTGAGCATTTTCCTGCCCAGATTTGTCAAAAGTGGCTTTTACAAAGGTTAATTATCATTCGTAGCTAATATCATCAGTGGTGATATAGGTAACAAAATTGTTTTTCCTCTGTTCTTTAATAGACCCAAAGAACTCTAGTATGCACTGGTCTTGGCTTTATTGATTCTTACTTTACACAGGACAGGCCATTAGGACCGTCAGCTCGAACAGAAATAGGTTCCACAGAGGCATGTGCAATTGGGTGGTTCATTTTATGACTCACATTCAAGGTCCTTGTACTTTCCTGTCCCGAGACTCTTCCTGGACACTACGTGTGTAAATGTGAAGCCACCTGAAGAGGAAACGTAGACTGATCTGCCCTGGGCATTGCCTGGACCAGGAAGCACGCCTCCTATTGGCAAAGCAGACCTCTTTAGTACATGGATTACTCTACCAGATGCTCCAAACTGCTCCACAACCTAAGCTTCATGCGAAGCCGGGGAGTTAGGCAGGAAGAGCATCACTGTTCCAAGTCAGGAGAAAAAAACAGATTCGGAAATAGGATTCCCATGATGCAACGCCGGGGCTGGGAAGGGAGCCCACATGTGGCTCCAAATGCAGACCTATCCTGGTCCCTCTGTGCCACCACATCGGTGTCAGTAACACATTTTTAAAGGCAACAAGGCAATGACACCATTCCGTTCCTCCTCCAGCCTTCTTATTCCAGTGAGAGACCTGTTCATTACAGCGGCCCTCAAATTCGCCCGCAACTCTCTTAGTATTCTGGAGACAAAAGCAGTGTGTAAAAACTCAACCTGTCATTCCTACATTTTCTAGAACTGTGCGACTCTGGGACCCTGAGCAGGGAGGGTGCTAGGAAAGGGCTGACATCAGGTAGAGCCACTAGGAAGCAGAGCGAAGGCCATGTCATTGCAGATGCGGCTGAGAACTCAGAGGCAGCAAGGTGAGGGCAGTGTGCCAGCCCGTGTGGGCTACCTCAGTGTCACAGCTGACAAGCTGGGAGTGCTAGACGAGCTGCTCCCTTCCTGGGTTAGGTAGTGTTTGATCTGGTAACCTCTAGGAGAAAGTCTCTTCTAGAGCTGCTGACCTGTGACCTTGGCAGTCTAGTGCTGAATGGCTCACATTACCATTCTTCCTGCAGGTAGACTGCGGTGCAGATGAAAGGAGATGATATCTACACAGGGTCCTCCACGCCAGGCCCGCCAAGATGTGGTCTGTAGAGCCCCTCCAACGATGGGCTGTGTTACTACAAGCTTCTCCGTGGAACTAACAGGTGAATTTAGTGTAACTCCTCTATTTGGGGCTTTGTGTTTATTTGTTTGTTTGTTTGTTTGTTGGAGGCCCTAGATCTTCTTTTTTAAAAAACACAGGGTCTTACTAAATCCTTCCACTGCCCACGCTTGGCTGAGACTTGCAGTCCTGCCTCATTCCCTCAGAGTGCTGGGATTACCAGTGGGTGCCATCACCTTCATCTTCGAAAAACAGTATTCTCCTTTCAGACTAATATAATGTAGGTTAAATAACTTTATTGTTAAATGTTTAGTGAACAGTTAAAAAATTAATAAGCCAAGTTACTGCATGAACAAAAATTGGAGCCTTGAACAAAAATTAACAAAAGATATAAATGGCTAAGAAACAGTAAAACACAATGTCAGTTCACTCTACTAATCAAAGAAGAGAAAATTAAAGCATGATATAATTTTAGCTGACGGACAGTGTTATCCTGTTCATTACACCCATGCTGAGAAGGGTTATGTGGCACATTTGAGCACACCATAGCTGCTAAATCTTGCTGAAAATAATGCGGCTGAGTATATCTGAACTTTCATGTGTGGCCACATATCTACAAACCATGAAGAAAACTTGTACATTCTGTGGCTCTCCAATACCTATTTACTCCTTTTTTTAAGTAAAATCTTCAATATTTAATTGCCTATATGGCCACTTGTCTCAAAGACTATAAGTCCTAATCTTCTTGTACCTAATCATGGCCCTGTGAACATGTGTTACTCTAAGTAATCCAAGTGTTAATTATAGGTGCACATCTCCAGAAGTTTCCTTAAAGAGAGACATGCTTTCTTTCCCCACTGCCTTCTTTCCTTCTGACTAGAACATACCTTCGATGGCTGGATGTCCCACAGCCATCTTGGATCATGAGGTGTCTGAGAATGGAACTCATATATGGCAAAGCAGTGGGAAAAAAGACTATTCCTACAATCTCCAAGCTTTTTTTAATTCAGAAGACAAACTTTTACTTTGTTTAAGCCACAGTAAATTGAATTTTTACTTATAATCAAAGCCACCTTCAATAATGCGTGAATTAATATCAAGTAATGGCAAAACATTGGACTGAAAAGAGCCAGATGCAAAACAGTGTATAATATACTACTATCTGTGTTTGAAAAAAGAAATAGAAGACAGGAATGTATGTAGGACTTGGGTTTCCCACTGCTCACACCCTTATGTCTTGCTCACTCCCCAGAACCTGATGTCGCCATGTGACTCATTTACACCCACAAAATAATTAGAGACTGACTCTGTGCCACTTCCCAGTGAGCCCACGAAGGCCCAGCAGCTTCTTTCAAATGTTCTTTGCAATGTTATTTATAACAGCGGTAAATAAATCAAACCAAAGTATTTGCAATACATTATGTATATTTCTATATAGAGAGTACAATGATGGGGAAATCTTATTATATAGCAAGACAATGACAACATATAAAATTGTATGAAACATTCTACTCTAAAAATACATAGAAAAGGACTTCAATGAATTATATTAAAAATGATTAACATTACTCACCTCTGAGTGAGCAAACAAAGGTTAATTTTTGGGAGCCCATCATTGTTTTCAAATCGCTCATACAGTATACTTTTGATCTTAATAACTCTGTTTTCATTTCTAGATACTCTTCTTGGTCCTTATACAATGCTTTGAAATCTCTTATCCTGAATTATCTGATTAACTGTTTGTAGTTTTTCTGACACACTTATTACTTGGTATTACTATATTTCTTTGTTCAAGCTTTCAGTTTGCTTCTTTCACTGAGCATTTTTAAACTACTTAACGTCCTTTTCTGCATCTTCATCTTCTTTACCCTAACTATAACATACGAAGCACTTGAGGGCCTTATTCTGCCATGTGTTGTTTCTCTTGGTTTCAATATGAGCAACTAAATCCTGTGTGTGTGCGTGTGCGTGTGTGTGTGTGTGTGTGTGTGTGTGTCTAATTTACAGGAGGCCAGAAAAACCAAGGCCCAGGATAAACATTTGCACAGAAGTCTTTCTGGCAGTTCTAACCACTAACTTTGGGAATAAGACAGATTCTGCCTAACGCTGTGATTAAGAAATCTCAACTAAGAGGGGATTTTGTTTTCTAACCCACTTTTCTATAGCTGGCATGGCCTCCCAAAGGCCTCGGCTTTGTGTTAGCGTCTTGGTTTCCACTTTCTGCACAGCAAGGGCCCCAAAGCTGGTCTCTGTTTCCCAGTAGCATAATCCAAGCGTAGGAATCTTACTTTTTGCTGTCTACATGTGCCCTCAGGGCAGAGCTTCATCTAAAATTTCCCAACCAGGCTCCTCTATTTATTTATTTTAGTCCATGGAATTTTCTATCACTTGTTTACAGATATTATAAGGATGTTTTGGTTATATGTTATCCAGTATACTTAGTTTCTTTGAACACTAACATTTATCAGAATATCTGATGAACCCACCACGAAGCTAGAATTAGAGGTCTGGGTTGATATTTCTTTTATAATCACAAAAGCCTGTTCCTACAAACATAGAAAATATATCACATATATTAACTGTCCTAAAAATTTCTCTGACAGCCTGCTTTGTTCATTACTAAAAAATATTCAGTACAGCTCTAGAAAAACCATGTATCTGAGTATGGACTGAAATTAAGTAGCTCATCACCATAGTGAAAGAACATTATATAAGAACTTTCACATGTGAGCAGAGGGGATGAAGTTCTAGAGAACACTGAATGCCAAAACACATGAGGTATTCATTAAATATCTATGTTAAGAAAATATAATATATCCACTAGATGGTATTTTAGAAATGGGCATGTTTTAGCCAGTTTCCCATTACTATAAGAAACACCTCAGGTAATCAACTTAAAAAGAAGAAAGGTCTATTGTGGCTCACAGATCTGGAGGTTCCAGTTCATGGTCAGTTGGCCCCACTGCTTTGTGGTCCTGTGGTTTGGCAGCATGTGATAGCGGGAGCATGTGGCAAGTACTTCTCACCTCATGACACCCAGGAAGTAAAGACAAACAAGAGGTCCCAAGGTCCTAATCTCCCCTTCGGAGCATTGACGCTATGCCCTAGCTTCCTGCCACTAGCCCCCACCTCCTAAAAGTTCCACCATCTCACACTAATGCCATGGGCTTGTGACCAAACCTTCAACACATGAGCCTCTGGGGACAGCCAAGACCAAATTATTGCACAGTGCCAACATAGTACTGCCTTTTTTTCTTCTGTGTGTGATATTAGAGAGACAGAGCCCAGAGCCTTCACTCTGAGGGAGGCTACATCTGCAGCCTGGTTTGTTTTGTTTTATTTTTATATTTTGAGACAGTATTTTTCAATCCTCATGTCTCAGCCTCCCAGAGTGCTGAGGCTGTAAGTATACACCATCAGGCCTGGCTTATTGTCAATAGCTTATATTTATCATATTCCATTTTTCTAAATATATTGCATGTATCATATCAGGTATTCTATTTTAATATATACCATATATACTATTTGTAGGTATATATACACACTATATTATATGTAAACATTAGAAATATTTACGATACAGAGAGTATGCATGTATATGCATATATAAATATAGCTAGTGTGTATATATACATATATATTACACATATAGTTGTACACCAAAAGAATCTCTTCAAATATTCTATGGAAGTGTTCCTAAATATTCAAAGAGCTGAAATAGACTTTCTCCTCTTCCCTCTGTTGTAACTATCGCTAGTAATGATAGCTAGACAACATCACACTTTAATTTGTAGGTGTGATTTACGGCAACCTTCCCTTTATGTTCTAATGGGAGAATGAAATGAGATGGCACCAGCAAAGCATGCAGCAGCTAGCACAAAACCCAGCAAGAGCTTGTTCGGATGACAGTGGGGAGGAAGAGAATGAGGATGATGGTGGCAGCGAAAGTGGCAGTGACTTTTTAAAGGAACTGTGGAAAATACGAGGGAGTTAAAACCAGTGCCTGAAAACAAAAGGCAGTGCAGAACAAACGGAGCCGTCTTTGTTTTGGATTTAAAACTCCAGATGGGCAGATTGAAGTTTGCTTACTTGTATCTACAGCATCTGAACTTGCAAAAGATATAAGTATTTAAAAATACTTCCAGTCCACACGCACCATCAATATTAATATTAGTATTAGTAGCACCATCAGTATTAGGAACTATTGATTTTACTATTACTATTAGTGCAAGAGGATCATAGTAAATCTTATAGTACAGGACATGAGCATTAGGTTTTACACTTCCAGCAGGAGACCAAGACAGAAGTGTACACCCATGCATCTCAGGTCCTGGAAGGGATCACACACCCAGAGTGCAAGGCCCTGGTGCTTCCTGTTGCAGAAAGAGAACTCCACAGTATCTCAGAGCTCAGAGGGACGGGTAACAGCGACTGAGCACATACAATGTGCCGAGTGAGGTGCTTACTGCTTTTGCTCCTAATCTTACCCATTCCTCACCAAAAATTCACTAAGGTGGCTTCTCACTATCCACCCCCTTAGAGAAGGAGCATAGTAGGGTACTCAAGAGCACAGAGCACTGGAATCTGCTGTCGCCTGTGTGTGAATCCCAGCTGTCACTTTCCTTGTAATTTAACTTTTCAGTCTTGTAATTTACCAGTAGGCATAAGGGTAGTCACTCACTCAGTGACTACTCTCAGGATGACATGGAGGAAATGAGCTGGGAGACGCAAGGTACCTGGGACACAGTAAACCCCTCAGCCTGAGCCTTCACTGCCGCCACCTTTCAGATGAGGAAACTGGGGTATTAAGAAGTGAAGTTACTCAGCCGTGAGAGGCCAGGCTGGGGCTGAAACCAGATGACTAACTTCAGATCCCCGACAGGAAGAAGGAACTACAACTCCTGTCTTCACACCTTAGTGCCCTCGTCATACTGTACCAGAACAGACCTCTCTCTGCTAGAACAGAGCCGAGGTAAGGCCTGTCCCCCTGGTCCGGCCAACTCCAAGACCCCACGTTTTTCCAAATGGAGGATATGAGTGGTGGGCTAAGAGATGAAAAAGGAGACTCCACAAGGCTCTCAGGCCTAGCAATTGCTACTGAGCTCTGTTTCCAGGGTTACCAGAGAGGAAGCAGGACCCCAACAGCTGCCACCCACAGGGAGTGAGCAGATCACCATGTGTGAGGCACACTTCTTAATCCCTCCAAACTGATGAGGCAGGACTGTCACTCTGCCCTCCACAGGGGAGGAATTTGAGAATTAGGGAGGTCAGGTAAATGGTCGAAGGACAAATCATTAAACAGCAGAGCCAGGGCCTGGCCCAAAACAGGGCCATCATCAATCCAGTTAAGTTCTCCTAACCCAGTCCACAGCAGGGATGATGGCAGAGATGAATGTTCAGTAGGCTGAGCTCCTTTCTCCAGAACACTGGCAGATGGAACCCACGAGACTTTGGCAACAAAGACTCTGGGGCTAAAAGCTTCAACATGATCTCAGCTCCCATTCTGGTCCACATCTCTAGGAAACTTTGTCTCCTGCAGTCCCAGTAACCACCATCATTGAGGAACTATCATGTGCTGGGCACCATGCCTGGTATTAGATTGTAAGCCCACTGAGGGCAGGAACAGAGTCAGTCTTGTTCCATCATGGACTCTCAAAGCTTAAAACAGTGCCTGGCTCTCAGTAGGGTACAGAGAAATATTTCTAGAATGAATGAGTCATGAGCCAGTGAGCAAATAAAAATATCCATCCTAATCCTAACCATCACTCTGTGAAGTAAAATGTGTAGGTAGGGAAGAAATTAAATTCAGAGTGCTTGAATCCCCTGCTCAGGGTCACGCTGTTAATGAGGGGTAGAGCTGGGGTTCAGCCCTTGCACATCTGTCTCCCAAGTCAGATTCTTTCCTCTGTGCTTCTCCTTTCTAACAGGAGACAGGAGCTGTACCTTCCAGGGCTACCGTGAAGACAGAATGAGATAAGGTGTAAGAACTTGTTTTTACAAACTCTGCACCTGCACAAGTTGGTGACTGTGATATTTTAAACAAAAAAATCAAACCCTAAAGCCAAAACAGCCCAATGTTACTGGAATTTTAAGCACTGAAAAGAAATCAGTGTATTAGGGAGCAAGAGGGCCATCACCTGCTTTGAAATCAAATCTTCCTCTAAACAGGCAACTGTGAAGAGGAGGTACGTGGGGAAGAGACTCCCCAGATTTAGAACTGCAGACTTGCAGTGTACAAAAAGCACCAAGAATTACTTTCTGCTCAGTGTGGGTCCCTCAACAGAATGTAACACCAATTCCAAGTGAAGCCCAGTGACGGCAAAGCACAAAGAGGAAATATCACAGAAGTGCAGCTGAGAGCAGGATGCCCACTGCGCGAGATGACTCCCGAGAAGGTCCCGCGGCCTTGGTGATGTGCTTCAGCTCCTGGATGATCCATCTAACCACCACTCTCTGTGGCAAAGTCACATGATTTAATTAAGCCTGCACAGCAAATTAGAACCTACCAACACCTTCCACCCAAGCAGCTCTCCACACCATCCTTCTCCCTGTTTCTCCTAACAGCCTTCTCTTCATTTTCCCGGTTAGATACAGCACAGTAATTGGCCCTCAAAATCAAGAGGCAAACCCCAAGTGCAAAAGTGAAGCTAAGTAAATGTCCCCCTTCCCTCTCCAAGCCTCCCAAGGTGGTTTAAAACAGATCAGAAAACAGAAGCAATTAAATAAACAATAGATGTGAAGCTTATTCAAGAACACAAGGGCAGTATCAGCCCACAGTAGTTAGTGAAGTAAGAACCTTCAGTGAGTCTCCAAATCCTGAATCATCAGGATTGGGAACCCACAGGGGACAATCTTGCCAGCTTTTTCTAAGCTGATAAATTGAAGCATGGAAAAACTAAAAGATTATTTTAAAAATAGTGCAAGGATGCTGCTTCAGGAACAGAGTGCTCTCATCTCTGTGTTTTCCCAGATTCAACAGAGGGAAAGGCAACTAAACGTCCTCAGGGCCAAACCTAGGAGATCCCTGAGTGTCCCGCTGGGCACAAGGATGGGTGATGACCAGGCCTACTCAATCCTGCCTAGACAGAAGCCAGCCTTAGTGGCACCATATTTCATGATTCATGTCAAGAGAAGCCAGAAGTCCTTTCTCTGGAATCCTGGAGGCCAGGGAGTAAAATCTTCTCATGTTTAAATGTTTTAAAGGTTTGACCAAGCAACTTCAAGTCATCAATTTGCAAACATAACCTCTCTCCTCTAGAGTGATATCATGGTCCCTGTCTTAGTTATTTTGCTTGTTGCTGAGACAAAATACCTGGTACCCAAAGTTAAAGGAGGAAAGGTTTACTTAGCTCACAGTATGTGGAGGTTTTGCTCCATAATCAGCTGGGTCCAAGGCAAACTGCTACACAGCAGAGGAGCAATAGTTCATGCTGCCAGAAGACAGCAAAAGCAATAAGAACAAACGGTGGCAAAAAGCGTCTTTCTGTCCCTTATGTAGTGTCCTGTGTACTAGGATTAGGGCAGTGCTGATCCAACCAGTGAACTGATCCAGCAATCACCACCCTTAATCCAAGCATTGTACTACAAATCTATCACATACCGTGGATTCTACCACCTCCAAAAAAACCCTACAACCCCATGAGGCTTTAGGGGGACATCTAGACATCAAATCATAGCAGTTCCCGCCACGCTATACACCCACACCCCACTCTGAAGACCCAGGTTCCAGTTCTTCATCCTCCACTATCAGGGGTACCCACTCCCCAGGGATCATTTCAATGTCCCAGGGCCTCGAATCCTCATCTGTGAAACAGACTTGATGAAGCCTCCCTTCTTCATGTCCTGTAATTTTTTGCATAAATCAAATAAAGTAAGTTTTGCAAAAACAAGGGCCATTCATCTCTATATCCATAGGGCCTTTGCACAACCAAAATAATAAAATTAAAACTAAAAGTTTATTGCATGGAAAAGCACTTTGCAGCGGGAATCATCACACAACCTGCTAGTCCTCCAGATCTTTCCAAGTCATAAAGAAAGGTTTCTTGCAGTTTTTTTAAAATGTACTTTCCCCTCCCTCCAAAAAAGTTCTTCAAACAGAAGTAATTGACAGTATCTGTTTAGTAACTTAGAAAGGGGGAGAGAGAGAGAGAGAAGAGAGAGCGTGCTTTTATGCAAATTTGATTTCCCTATAATAATCTAAAGCTATTCTGCTAGAAGGAATTATCTCTGCAGGCTGGCAGCTGTGGTAGGCAGTGAATTAAAAATGGCTCTGTATATGGGAAAATTTGTGCTATAATCAGTTCTATTCTTGGAGAGGACATCAATCTAGCCCAGCTCCCATGATGCTTTCCTTGTGCAAATGACATACAACCATGAGGTAGAAATTCTTGTGACATCACGGCTGGGGACTGTGTCCCACCTGAGATGCCATCCTGCTTTTACAGGATGAAGATGGAGCCGATGGCAGCCTCCACACAACCAGGGTGGCCTGTCCCTTTGCCTTAGGAAGACATTGGATGACATGTGAGTCTGTAGACAGTATCGTTCAGTCCAAATCTGACGAGCTGCACAGTCTTGGGTGTTATAGACCGGTAATCCTTTCTTTTCTTTCCCACACTGTAACCTTCTTTTTGTCTTTTTTCTTTCCTTTCTTGCTTTCTTCCCTCCCTTTCTCCCTTTTCATCTCTTTTCCTTTCTTTCTCCTTCTTCCTTTTCCTCCCTGAAATTCTGCCCAGCAGGGACATATGCTACGCAAGGGCTGTTTGTCACTGGGAAAGGCACACGCTACGAACGTGTTTTAAGAAGAGCACAGCCACCAAGGGAATCCTGTCTCCTTCATCAGAACATGGAATTTTCCTTGGAACGCATGTCACTGCGTGCTTTGAGGTATCTTCCTTCTCTCTCTCTCTGTCATGGGCACCATCACTGTGTCTGCTCAGAGTAATGCATTTCAGATCACACTGTGTAAGTGTGTCTCCATGTACGTTGCATAAAGGGGTCTGGACCCATCCTGATTCAAGTCCCCGTGTCCCCACTAAGATAACCATGAAACGATACTAGGAATGTCAAGAAGTGGCATCTTCTAAATTGAAATAAGTCACCTCACCCTTTCAAACACTGTTAAGAAATGGTCTTGGTCTGTACAACCCATGACCTAGACTATAGAGCCAGTACACACCCATAGGGAAGACGGATTTCCAGAATGTTCTCCACCACACAGAGATGGCTCCATTCTGCTCCATCAGCCCAGGAATCTCTGCAGAAGAGGGAAGGACAAGACTCGGAGGCCGAGAGAGCGTGACTGAGACCTCAGGGGGGCTGCATACCCAGCGGTAAGATAGTCCACAAAGCTCCAGAGAGGTACCAGAAATGCTATTGTGTGCTTTGAAACAGTTCCTTGGAGAAAGAGAATTGTTCTCACCAGCAGACAGCACCTCTCAGGACTGGACGGCCCCGGCTGCTCCCTCTGGGCAGGAACTCTCTCTTTCCCCTTCATGGCCAATTCTCAGGTGCCTTCTCCTTTTTAGCTCTGACCAGACACCAAGACCCAAGCGCATATTTTTAACCCCACTCCACCCCCTCTTCCAGGGCTCCAGAGTCTCCTGAGAGACACAAAGCTGCCTGTGTTATCCCTTCCCTGGGAAGGCAGAACAGGGTGGCCCTGCAGGGTTCATTAAAGAGACAGCTGCATCCAGTTTCCTCATTACTCTTCACGTAGAAACTGCAAATTGCATTTGCAAATATTTTCTTTAAAATGAAATTGTCGTTTCCGAGTTCCTTGCAAGCGCCCAGTGTCTGGGTAAAGTAAGTAGCAGTGATGTAAAAACAGGGTGTCAGCCCTGCATCCTTTACCGAGGTAGCAAGCCCCACCCTAGAAACCTGCGACATGAGGAACAGTGCCAATGTGGAGTGCTCAGGTGACATGAATCACTCTCCTACACTGGCCTGCTGGGGCAGAATTAATTGCATAAATGTTGGGCTCTCCTGGGTCCAAACCAGTGATACTAGATTTAAGTAAGCAGATTTAACTAGATTTATGGTTTAACAATCTAGTGATACTATTTAAGAGGCGGCAATGAAATGTGAGTTCATTTCACCCTCCCATTGGCCTCTCATGGACCAAGTTGGTTTCCCCTAGAAATCCTGAAAACAGGAACTAAACAGAAGGCACCCACTGTCCAGGTATGAAACTCAGCAGGTCTGTGCCTCAGTCTCTCCCTCTGTAGAACTGAGATAATCTAAAGCCTCTTTTGTGGAAGCTTGCTAATAAGAAACAAATCAATTCACATAAAGTATCCCAAAGGATGTTCAGCATACAGTTAGCACACTGCAAACACAGATACAGATATCTAAATGTAAATCCATTCCAAACTCACATTCTGAGCCTGCAGCTACTTCAAAGCCTCCCTTTAAAAGGCTCAATTGGAGTAAGAAGCTCTGAATTCAACACTTGAACCCACAAGTCGATTTTAACATCAACCAAAGAGAGAAAACCTGATTTTGCACCTCCCGGTGTGATGCAGAAAGAAAAGCACGCCACCCCCCAGGAAGTGTTTCTACCACAATATTGGACCTGAACTTGATCAAGCTCCTGGATCTAACAGTCTGCAAGAGCAAAATAAAAGGGACAGAAACTCATCGCAATGCAAGCAGCAAACTCCAGACTGTAAGAAATTCAACAGGACAAACTCTTCTGCTTCTTCAACAAACAGATTGCAAGCCAAAAAAAAACAGAGGGGTACTATCCCAGAATAAAGGAAATGTACAAAGTCATATCCACAAAATGCACTGTGTCGAACTCACTTGGGGAAAAAGAGTAGAAAATGCCAGTAGTTCAAATCAGGGGAAATCTGAACACTAACTGGGGCCCTGTGATATTAAGGGGTTATTTCTACTATGCTTTATTTGCTCTTCTGGTTGAGAGATGGTCTACATTCCATTGAATGGAGGCAGCTGTCATGATTGTTTTCTCCCAAGAATGACCTGCAGAACGGGATGGCCAGCTTCTATGTGTCTCTAAGCCCTTGCTTTGGAGACAGCCCTGCCTGGAACCCAACAGCCTTACTGGGAAAAGCCAAGCCGTGGAGTGACCAGAGCCAGGCACTCCACCGGAATGTCCAGCTGGGTCCCAGGAGACCCAGCCTACCCTGCATCTCCAGAAGGCCGCAGCCCAGCTCATTGCTGATTATAATCAGCTCTGAGACCCCAGGCAAGCACAGCAGGGCTGAACCATGAGAGGGAACTCGAAACTCTTGTTTTAGCCCCATCATTTGGAGGCAATTCCTTATGAGGCACAAAGCAATCCGAAAATTTAGTCTCACAGAGATGCGTTCTTAAACATTGACCAAAAAATATGATATCTGGGATTTTCAAATTAATCCAGTTAATAGTGAAAACAAGCTGGTCCGTGTGCTGCTAATTGTTCAAACTAAGAACCTGGATCAAAGAGAGTAATTACACCTTTCCCCTCTGCTCTTGGATATTTTTGAACTGTTTGCTAATGCAAAGTTCTTCGTAAGAGCTCCAGATTTAGCAAGACAAGATCTGATGTTTACGGGGAACAGAATGCTTGGAACTCGGAGGTGGCTCCCTATGCCAAGCAATCACACATGTCACTGTTTACACATGTGATATGACAGCATCCTCTTTACTGTCCAGGCACAGGATGTCAACCTCTAGAAAGCAGCACGTAGAGGTGCAGGAATCTGGAGTCCAGAGTGGAATCAAATCCCAGCTCTGCCTTCATCAAGCTGGGCATCTTCGCATCCATTCTCACTGGGTTCTGAGCATGAAAAGGACATTTTTCCTGATGAAGTGACCCAGGTCTTAAAGACATAAATGGTCAGCCTACGTGATGAGGTTCTACAAAAGCAGAGATGTAACTGTTGCAAGCTATAATGCAAAAGAAATCAGTGATTCTCGAGGTATTGCCAGTATTCTATCACTGGAGATCATATGCCTAGCCATGGGAAAAAGTCAAATTTCTGTTCTGAAAAGCACGTCACACTGAGGGGCAGGACAGCTTCTGTTTCATTTGGGAGAACGCATTTGGGACCCACCAGCTGAGTCCATCTGGGGACGGGCGCATCTTGGAGTATGGTGAGCGCATTGCACAAGGCGTCCAAAGTGAAGTTTTATGAGACAGCTCGTGACTAGAAGTCCAGAGAAAAAGTGCCACATTTGGACCAGAGAGCCATGCGTGCTGCTAACGAGAGGCCAGCAAGCTGCTTCCTGACACAGGCAATGCCACACAGGCATTTGCAGATGGAGCAACTCGGAAATGTGTCTACTTTGGAATAATTGATTATTCTCCCAAACAACACCAAGGAGGCTAGCAGGTCATTAACTGCACTAATAAATTAAATTAATCTACTAATACATGTGCTGCTATATCAAGAACTGTAATTCTATGTACATCTCTCTTTATGGAGTAAGTTTGTGGGGGGAATATCTGAACTGAAGTAAATTCTTTCATTAACTTGCCTTTCTATTTCACTGGCCTACTATTATTTTAAATTGATGGGGAAAATGAATTAAATAATGGCATTTAAGAAATCAGCTTAAATTCAAGCCCAGCATGTGCAACTTAGCAAGATCCTGTCCCAAAATTTAAATTTTCCAAAAGGCTGGGGATGTAACTCCGTGCAGAGACCTCAGGCTTGATCCCTGGCATCACAAGAAAAAAGAGCAGAAGAGAAAGGGGGGGGGGGCGACAAACATGACGAGGGGAGGTGGAGAGGAAGAGGAAGGAGGAGGGGGAAGGGGAGGGAGGAGGGGGGAGGGGAGGGAGGAGGGGGAGGGAGGAGGGGGAAGGGGAGGGAGGAGGGGGAGGGGGAGGGAGGAGGGGGGAGAGGAGGGAGGAGGGGGGAGAGGAGGGAGGAGGGGGAGAAGAGGGAGGAGGGGGAAGAGGAGGGAGGAGGGGGAAGAGGAGGGAGGAGGGGGAAGAGGAGGGAGGAGGGGGAAGAGGAGGGAGGAGGGGGAAGAGGAGGGAGGAGGGGGAAGAGGAGGGAGGAGGGGGAAGGGGAGGGAGGAGGGGGGAGAGGAGGGGGAGGGGGAGGGAGGAGGGGGAAGGGGAGGGAGGAGGGGGAAGAGGAGGGAGGAGGGGGAAGGGGAGGGAGGAGGGGGGAGAGGAGGGAGGAGGGGGGAGAGGAGGGAGGAGGGAGGAAGGGGAAGAGGAGGGAGGAGGGGGGAGAGGAGGGAGGAGGGAGGAGGGGAGGGAGGAGGAAGAGGAGGGAGGAGGGGGAAGAGGAGGGAGGAGGGGGAAGAGGAGGGAGGAGGGGGAAGAGGAGGGAGGAGGGGGAAGAGGAGGGAGGAGGGGGAGAAGAGGGAGGAGGGGGAGAAGAGGGAGGAGGGGGAGGAGGAGGGAGAAGGGGAGGGAGGAGGGGGAAGGGGAGGGAGGAGGGGGAAGAGGAGGGAGGAGGGGGAAGAGGAGGGAGGAGGGGGAGAAGAGGGAGGAGGGGGAGGAGGAGGGAGGAGGGGAGGGAGGAGGAAGAGGAGGGAGGAGGGGGAAGAGGAGGGAGGAGGGGGAAGAGGAGGGAGGAGGGAGGAGAGGAGGGAGGAGGGGGAAGAGGAGGGAGGAGGAGGAAGAGGAGGGAGGAGGGGGAAGAGGAGGGAGGAGGGGGAAGAGGAGGGAGGAGGGGGAAGAGGAGGGAGGAGGGGGAGGAGGAGGGAGGAGGGGAGGGAGGAGGAAGAGGAGGGAGGAGGGGGAAGAGGAGGGAGGAGGGGGAAGAGGAGGGAGGAGGGAGGAGAGGAGGGAGGAGGGGGAAGAGGAGGGAGGAGGAGGAAGAGGAGGGAGGAGGGGGAAGAGGAGGGAGGAGGGGGAAGAGGAGGGAGGAGGGGGAAGAGGAGGGAGGAGGGGGAGAAGAGGGAGGAGGGGGAAGAGGAGGGAGGAGGGGGAAGAGGAGGGAGGAGGGGGAAGAGGAGGGAGGAGGGGGAAGAGGAGGGAGGAGGGGGAAGAGGAGGGAGGAGGGGGAAGAGGAGGGAGGAGGGGGAAGAGGAGGGAGGAGGGGGAAGAGGAGGGAGGAGGGGGAAGAGGAGGGAGGAGGGGGAAGAGGAGGGAGGAGGGGGAGAAGAGGGAGGAGGGGGAAGAGGAGGGAGGAGGGGGAAGAGGAGGGAGGAGGGGGAAGAGGAGGGAGGAGGAAGAGGAGGGAGGAGGGGGAAGAGGAGGGAGGAGGGGGAAGAGGAGGGAGGAGGGGGAAGGGGAGGGAGGAGGGGGAGAAGAGGGAGGAGGGGGAAGAGGAGGGAGGAGGGGGAAGAGGAGGGAGGAGGAAGAGGAGGGAGGAGGAGGAAGGGGAGAGAGGAGGGGGAAGGGGAGGGAGGAGGGGGAAGGGGAGGGAGGAGGGGGAAGGGGAGGTAGGAGGGGGAAGGGGAGGGAGGAGGGGGGAGAGGAGGGAGGAGGGGGAAGAGAAGGGAGGAGGGGGAAGAGGAGGGAGAAGGAGGGAGGAGGAGGGGGAAGAGGAGGGAGGAGGGAGAAGAGGAGGGAGGAGGGGGAAGGGGAGGGAGGAGGGGGGAGAGGAGGGAGGAGGAAGAGGAGGGAGGAGGGGGAAGAGGAGAGAGGAGGGGGAAGAGGAGGGAGGAGGGGGAAGAGGAGGGAGGAGGGGGAAGAGGAGGGAGGAGAGGGAGGAGGAGGGAGGAGGGGGAGGAGGAGGGAGGAGGGGGAGGAGGAGGGAGGAGGGGGAAGAGGAGGGAGGAGGGGGAGGAGGAGGGAGAAGGGGAGGGAGGAGGGGGAAGGGGAGGGAGGAGGGGGGAGAGGAGGGAGGAGGGAAAAGAGGAGGGAGGAGGGGGAAGAGGAGGGAGGAGGGGGAAGAGGAGGGAGGAGGAGGTTCCTTAAATCCATGCACTTGCCAGTGGTTTACAATTTTTAAAAAAATGTAACATCACATCAGGTAACATCAAATAGCAATAAAACAAATATGTGTGGGAGCCAGGTCCTCGTCTTCGCCCTCTCTGCCAGGCAGGAAGCTTCCCCGGGAAGCATCGTGGTCATCAGCTCTGCAGTGCGGTCATCTGGCTTCTCTTGTGGTGGCTGCAGCCGAAAGGCCTGAGGCCACCACTTCCCAAAGGGAGCCACAGACCCCTGGCCCCTAGCTGTAACGCCGTTACCTCCTTAAGGGTCTGACACGCTGGGAGTGTCTGGGAAACGTGTTAGACAGCCTTTGTCATGCTTCTGCACCTGCGGCTGCTTTTTGGTTTTTGTCTTTTGCATGTTACAGGGTGAAAGTTAAATGAAAGATAAATCCAGATCGAACATAGTGACTGCCACAAAGAACAGCCCTGCATGCAGTTAAAATTACAAAAATACATCAAATCAAGGTGCGGAGAACACTAACATTTTCCTCCCTTTATCCTGCATCCGATAAGGAATTTAAACCAAATGTTTGCTTTGGAGTCTCCTCAGAAACACGAATGTGTATGCAGGAATCTCCAAGAGGTTTCTAAAAATGTGGCATTCGAGAGATTTTTCTCCAGACTTGTTGCTCAGACACCCAGGGGACAAAGGAGAGTCTGCTGCTCGGGAACTAACATTTGCTCACAAAGTCCCGTTCGCCACCAACCTGGGCCACCAACCTGGGCCACCAACCTGGGCCACTCCCAGTTAGGCTGAACAGGCAGCACTAACCTCATTCTATTGTAATCAACTTTATTTTATACACATGTTGTTCTGTTTTTGTTTTTGCTTTTGAGACAAGGTCTTTAGAGACAGGGTCTCAAACTAGTGGCGATCCTCCTGCCTCAGCCTCTGAAGGGCCGGGATTACAGGCACACACCACCACGCCCGGCATGCGAGACATGCCGAGAATATGTGTGGGTTGCAGAGAAATCAAGCAGACGGCACAGAGATTTCCCACGGCCTCGTGGCCTCCATGAGCCCCCAGGAGCCCAACATCATGACCGGAAGTCCAGAGTTCCAAATGGGGTCCCTCTTGGCGCCTTTCATTCAAATGTAGAAATATGCAACTGCTGTTGTGGTATCAGGCAGAACAGCTTCTGCACCCTAAAAATACTCTGCTCCACTCTCCGCCCCTCCCGGTTCTGCTTTAGATCTAGATGTCCTCTAGTGCCTGGTGCCTGGGTGAGGCCCTGGAGGAGGTGGCTGGTTGTCAGCGCCTGCAGCTGACCTGAGGCAGTCTGGTGGCAGGAGAACTTACAAATAAAGTTTTATTGGTAACACAGCCATGCCCATTGTCTGCAGGGGCCCAGTGGTTACCAAAAGGACAGTGTGGACTGCAAAATCCAAAGTCATTGCTGGCTGGTCAGTGACAGAAGTCCGGCAGTTGTTGCTCGGAAAGACCGGATGCAGTTAGAAGAATCCTCTGCCTGAAGAAAATCCTGGCTTTGTGGCGTAGTCCTCCCAACAAACTGGGGAGTATATTGATTTCCCTGTCGTGGCTCCCACACGCCTGGGAACTGGCTGTGTCCAACAGGCAGGAGAGGAAGGTGCGGGATCCGGGCTCTGCCGGCCCGTCTCTAAGATTTGGGTTATGTTTTCCCCCGCAAGGGAGCTGAGCTTCCCGCCCGGCTTCCTTTTTTCTCTTTTTGCCTTAAGGTTTGTTTACACTCCGCGGGAGGAAAGGTAAGGAGATAAAAAGCCGCGCAGGATGAATAAAGGAAGACAAGACAACAGCAGAACAAGATAACAGGCAAGATGAGAGCAGGAAGCCGGAAGGAAGTTACAAGTCAGCACTGAGCGGACGGGAAGGGAGATCACAGCCTGGCTGGCCCGCGGGGAGGAAGGGAGAAGACCAGTGGCTGCAGGCTACTGCAATGCACAGATGCCCCAGAGTGCCCTGGAGTCCCGGAAATAAGTAGTTTAATTCTGCCTATTAGCTGCTCGAGCTGCCCGAGAGCCCAGCTGCTATCCCCACCGCATCCTCACCCTCCCTGCGGGCCGGCGGGACAGGAGGTCGGGAATGGTGCAATGGGAAGCCTTTGAGTCTGCGATTTCTTCTTTTCTCTCCCAGCCCAGCGCCACCCTAAGAAGAGCAGGCTCTGGACTCCAAAGGAGAAAAAAAGATGACCTTCTTTAGTGTGCCTCCAATAACCTGACTAACAATAACCACAGAGGCTAGTTATTCAATGCTTGCTCTGTGACGGCCTCCAGATTAAATCTTCTCTACATGTTAATTTCTTTAATCCTTGTGACAACCACTCAGGTCAAATAATACTATAGGGACTTTGTGAAAACTAAGAGAAGCCAAATGATAAGGCTGGTAGACAGAGCTGGAATTCAAACTCAGAATTGCTGTCCACCAAATCCACACTTCAAAACCACCATTCATATACCCTTTCTTCTTGCTAATAATGCTGACTTGATGGCAGGAACTCAAGCAGCCATCTTGATCTGTGAGGCTTCCTTGAATATAAAAACTATACAACACACCAAGGTAAGAAATGACCTAAAGGCATAAGCTAACCAAGCACAAGCTAAGTGGATCCAAACTGGCTCCCTGTAGCCATCACCTACACTTACATGTACTGCGTTA